ACACTTGAGGTTTTAGGTCAGCAGAGGATGCCTACGGCCTCCAATTCAACCCCATCCCAATGTTATTGGGTGACCTGATGTAACATGGGCTCTAACTGATACTCTGATGTAAGGGGGGAAACTGATGGTAACCCTGATGCAGGGGGGAATCTGATAGGGACCCTGACGTAAGGAGGACTTTGATGGGACATGATATACAGGGGGACTCTCATAGGGACCCTGATGTAAAGGGGGGCTCTCATGGGGACCCTGATGTAAATAGGGGGGGGGGGGCTCTCATAAGGATTCTTTTTTGGCTCATGAATTTTTGTAAAATTTACAGTGTGGCACCTATACTGGAAAGTTTGAAAACCCCCGTTGTATGCTGATGTTGATGGTCAAAAACTCACATTTTACTTTAAAACATTTGCACTTGACATGAATAAATAACTGCTTTCTGTAAGTTCTCTCATGCTTAAGCTACCTAAGCAGCTGAATACACAAAGCTACCCACTGAGACCACAAGGATACCAGGAGCCTCACAGGCATTAAATATTAGTAGACTAAAATTATAACCTAGAAAGGAAAAAGGATGTGACATGGTACAATGGTAGCTTGAAAAAGAGCGTTGTATGCTCAAAACTGTTATTAGACTGTATGCAAATGTAAGGGCTCGGTTTAAATTGATTCACAGGGCCTTCATACATTTCTTCCATCAAATGCTGTTAATTCTCCAAATGCCCACACTGTGGCCTCTATAGTCTTTTATTAGCGCATCATTTCTGGCATTACCCAAAGACTTCCACTTTTTGGGACCAAGTCATATATTTAATCTTTAGCATTACTTGGCTATGCATGGCTATGATCCCTCTATTGTTTTTATTCAACTATGTTAAAGGCATCTCACCCCTGCAGCTAGACTTTGGTTGCAACCTTAATCAATGGCTACAGCCACTGTATTAGGTACACCTTGCTAATACCGGGTTGGGCCCCCTTTTACCTTCAGAACTGCCTTAATTCTTCATAGCATAGATTCAATGCAATGTTGGAAACATTCCTCAGAGATTTTGGTCCATATTGACATGATAACATCACGCATTTTCTGCAGATTGCAAGGCAGGATGGATCCATGCTTTCATGTTGTTTACACCAAATTTTGCCCTACCATCTGAATGTCACAGCTGAAATTGAGACTCATCAGACCAAGCAATGTTTTTCCAATCTTCTATTGTCCAATTTTGGTGAGCCTGTGCAAATTGTAGCCCGTTTCCTATTCTTAGCTGACAGCAGTCGCACCCGGTATGGACTTCTGTTGCTGTAGCCCATCTGCTTCAAGGTTCGATGTGTTGTGCATTCAGAGATGGTATTCTGCATACCTTGTTTGTAATGAGTGGTTATTTGAGTTACTGTTGTCTTTCTATCATCTCGAACCAGTTTGCCCATTCTCTTCTGACCTCTGGCATCAACAAGGCATTTTCATCCACACAACTGCCGCTCACTGAATATTTTCTCTTTTTTGGACCATTCTCTGTAAACCCTAGAGATGGTTGTGCATGAAAATCCCAATAGATCATCAGTTTCTCAAATACTCAGACCAGCCTATCTGACACCAACAACCATGCCACATTCTAAGTCACTTAAAATCCCTTTCTTCACCATTCTGATGCTCAGTTTGAACTTCAGCAAGTTGTCTTCACCACATCTAGATGCCTAAATGCATTGAGTTGTTGCCATGTGATTGGCTGATTAGCAATTTGTGTTACGAAGTAATTGAACGGATGTACGTAATAAAGTGACTGGTGAGATGTACCTAATAAAGTGACCGGTGAGTGTATCTGCTTTTTGGCAGCCTGCAAACACATCTTGAAAGTTTGGATTGCCCTCTCAGCTCCTACAATCACAGCTGTTAAGAAGGATCTTAAATTGCTCTTGAACAGGGAGAAACTGAATGTGGAAACTCAAAACTATACCCCTGCCAAGCATTTCTTCACTGGGTGGAAATCTTTTATTAAACATACCCTGTCAGCCTCAGGAGTGTCATCTATAATGATTTCTTCCAATATAGTGAATGGTATGCTAAAGCAGACCTGGGCAAATCCTCGGGCAAGCTAAAAAATCTAGGACTCAGTTAAATGTTTACAGTGCTTTCTCTCTTTGGTTTCTCTTTTTTCTGTGATTGGATGTCACACTCTTATTTCTTGACATAGACCGTCTCTGTATTATCACTAAGGGGGCAGCATGTTGTTCCCTATGCAGACTATGTGACCTGCTGGTGCAGATATAGGGTTTTTTTCTGTTAAGTCTAATAGATATTCATCCATGCTTTCAAATTAATAGTTTTGTTTCTACTTTCTGCAAGGACACTTGCCAATGTTTTTGCTCTAGGATGCCTGTCGGTCCTTCATATATTCTTCAGTTTATTGCTATTGTTCTTGTACTTTTTCCTGATTGACTGGCTACCTAAACACTCTTTTTCAATGTTGATACCAGGGGTGGACTGACCATTTGGAAACTCGGGCACCGCCTGAGGGCCCGGGGTCAGTAGGGGTCCCTATGAGATGCCCCTGGTACCTTTTCATAGGCTTTTTTGAGTTTGGGCAAGGACACAGGGGCCCCATGATCCCCTATTGCCTGGGGGCCCCATGAGTTGTCAGTCCGCCCCTGGTTGATACTTTTTTTGTGTATCTTGGATACTAGTACTCCTGTTTGTATACAAACAAAAATGTAATAAAAATGTATCACAAAACAAATAAATCTAATTGCAAAGTATGGATATTACATCCCTTTTCCTTTCTATATGATTGGAGTGAAACCCACTTGGTGAATATATTCTTATTGAAGGTTGCCTGATTAAGTGTAGCTCACCCATATATTATAATTATAGCCTGCACATAAATAAAGTAGGTCAGGTAAACTAAACTTATTTAGCTTAAAGCCAAATTGTAGCTTTTACTTAAAAAATACTGCCCAAGACTTTTGAAAAAAAAAAAAAATAATGCTGCAAAGCTAACCATATCTCTGGTGCTGCTTTCTTCTAGGTTGAGTGCCCAGCATCATGCAAACCACTTCTTATAAGCCCAGAGCATCAAGGACACGCCCATTGGAGATGTGTCTTCAAGCTGCCCTAGGCCCTACTGCCATCCACAGAATAGGTCATTCCACAGCACTGTCACTCCAAGGCTGTGTGCTCGCCTTTCTCTGAGGGTCAAATACAGCGCATAGCAACTCCAATAAATATGGCTCAGCAGTTTAGGAGCAGACAGTGTTCCTCAGCCATGTGTCTTCTTATACACAGCTCAAACAGCCCCCCTGCTAGGTGAGGGCTACACCCTCAACACACCTATCATCCCAGATGAGGCCATTAACCTTTCATCTCCCAGGGTGAGAGGTTGGAAACTCATCCCTCCCATTAACTCTTAAAGTCTCCAGACTCCAGTGACCCATAACAAAAATGCTGGGTGGGCTCCAGGGAGAGGAAGGGTTGGGAGGCCTGGGTGGAATTAAGATGGCATTGGACATTAAAATGGATTTGGGCTTTAATCTGATCTTTATCACATTTATATCTATCCAAACACAAAAAGACTATGGTTACTTTTTCAGTCTACATCAAACTAATATAGTCAGTACTGCGGAGCAAATTGACTCTGAAAGCTATCATTTTTTTTCAGAGATACATTCATTTTCTTTTCTGCTGTACAAAATGTAAATAAGTGTCACCTATTACTGAAAGTGAATACGGCTCTCCGTTCACTGTCCGCTATGCCATCTTACTGAAGAGTGATTTATGGCTGGAATACAGAGGACGAGTGAGCCAGAAAAGGAAGATGGAATAGTCAAGTCCAAAGTTATTTCATGTTCCATACACTCGCAGAATGACAGCAAATGACAACAAGGCACAATTCATAGTTTATCATGTATTCAGCACTGATATAATTTAGTGACATTTCTTTTTCACACCGAATACAAGTCTCATAAATTACAAGAGTGAAACTAGTGTCTTTTCAATGCAAAAATTGATGACATACAATTCTACAGAAATGTCACAAGCTCATTGATAAATTTTCAATATTTCATTGCATAGTAGTGGGAGTACATGGAGTAAAATTCTGCTTCGTCCTGAATACATGGCAAACATTGCAATGGTGCCAAATTACCATTCTGTATAATATATTTTGTTAATTACAGTGGGGCAAAAAGTATTTAGTCAGCTTTACCCCATGAGGTGAAATCCTGCTTGAAGCTCCAGCCCAAGGGCAATTGATGGTTATTTTGAATTTCTTTCATTTGCGAATAATCGCTTCAACTATTGTCTCTTTCTCACCAAGCTTCTTGCTGATGGTCTTGTACATAGTTACAGTGGGGCAAAAAAGTATTTAGTCAGCCACCAATTGTGCAAGTTCTCCCACTTAAAAAGATGAGAGAGGCCTGTAATTGGCATCATAGGTAGACCTCAACTATGAGAGACAAAATGAGAAAATAAATCCAGACAATCACATTGGCTGATTTGGAAAGAATTTATTTGTAAATTATGGTGGAAAATAAGTATTTGGTCACCTACAAACAAGCAAGATTTCTGGCTCTCACAAACCTGTACCTTCTTCTTTAAGAGGTTCCTCTGTCCTGCACTCATTACCTGTATCAATGGCACCTGTGTGAACTTGTTATCAGTATAAAAGACACCTGTCCACAACCTCAAACAGTCACACTCCAAACTCCACTATGGTGAAGACCAAATAGCTGTCGAAGGACACTAGAAACAAAATTGTAGACCTGCACCAGGCCGGGAAGACTGAATCTGCAATAGGCAAGCAGCTTGGTGTGAACAAATCAACTGTGGGAGCAATAATTAGAAAATGGAAGACATACAAGACCACTGATAATCTCCCTCAATCTGGGGCTACACGCAAGATCTCACCCCGTGGGGTCAAAGTGATCACAAGAACGGTGAGCAAAAATCCCAGGACCACACAGGGGGTAAATCCCAACTCCAGGAAATTTGAAAATTATCCAATGCAATTTCAATGCAAAATTTTGATACAGTAATGTTTTACTATGTGATTTTAGTGAATGTCACTTTTTGTCATTTTCAAATTTCCCGCGGTTCTGTCCCCGTATGTTCCGACGTCGCAGGGGACGGAACCCAGATGACAGATGCCGGCATCCACCGGATTACATTGCCGGGGACACTGCAGGAGGGACATCGCGGGAGCGCAGGACAAGGTAAGTGATCGAGGGATTGCGGAGCAGCGTTGCATGGTATGCTCTAGTGTAGCTCAGGGTTACCACTTGTGGTACTGAAACTTTACCCCGAGCTACACTCGGGAATACCGCCAGGGAGGCTATTGTGTAAAAAAGTCCAAATAAAGTCCCAAAGATATATAAAAAATATATATAAATTGTGCTCAATCCCAAAAATAGTGCTCAAAAAAATCTTCAACCAAAATGTGCTCACACCATCTGTGATTATTGATCCAATCCCCGCTCACCAGATGGAATGGACTCTTTGCTGATATGGCTAAAGAGTCAAAACAAGCTTTATAGGCTGGGCATATCCTCCCCAGATACCTCTGCACTTGATATCCTCCAAAAACGATTCCCGCGATTAGATGGCAATGAAAAACAAATAAAAAGACACAAATCGTACAATACTGTTAAAAAACTCTTTAATCTAAAAAAACTGCCCTTTATGCACTCACATGATAAAAGATGTGTTCACGCTTTCATAATAGGCCCAGAGGCTCATATTATATGACACAAATCCATAATTTGCAGAAGTGGACTGGCAGTGAATAATATGAATTCCTTTGAAAGGAAAGCAGGAAGTCACTCCGGAGCACCACAAACCGGCGTTTTGCACAGAGCAGGCCCGAACCTCCTCTTCTGGGGTCCCCTGCCAGCATTCTCGGCTCTTCCTCTTCTCTGTTAGTCACCATAGAAAGTCGATTCTTACGGTGATACACCTGCGGGTTCGCTCCCAAGCTTGGCTGTGTGCAGCTATTGACACAAGCAGCGCAGCTGACCCCTGCTGCCTCCTCACAGGATTTGTTCAACAGCAGCAGGAGCCAATGGTTCTTGCTGCTGTCACTGCAGTCTGTGAAGAGAGGCACACAGACAAGCACTGCTGCAGACAGGCACTGCACTGGATTGAGATACAACTCAGGTAAGTAAGAAGGGGAGCGAGGAGAGATACAACTAGTGGTCCATTTTTTACCTTAATGCAGTAAATGCATTAAGGGAAAAATTAGTTAGCTTTTAGAACTACTTTAAATACTTTAACCACCCTTTCTAACCCACCGAGATACTGACTTGTTAACACTCAGTCAGAGGCATAAAGACAAAGCAGCGAGACGGAAAACGTCTGTAAATTTACTGTGCAATATAGCAATAGGGTAAGATATTCCAGTTTACCATTTCATTATTGCTGTTCACACATTCGTGTTAAGCTCATTTAAATTGCACCCTGTTTAATAGGAAGACAGCACAGATAAATGCTAAACACCAACTTTTATCTAAATATTTAATCTAAATTAATTACATCAATTGCATACAGTGCAGACAAAACCGCAAGCTTTCATTCTGTTTAAATTAGACCTATAATGAATACAGCTAAAATGCTGTAATTAAGTGAAATTGAATTATATCATAGCGGCACTAATACTTGTAGAGGGATGTGTAGCAAGTATTAGTATTTAAAAGCAGATTACTGAAGGAAAAGAAGCCAAAAGGTATCCAGACTCCTTATGGGCATAGTTAGTGCTGTCACAGCAGTCTCAAAAATAATGTTTTCATCTATAATAATCACAAGATACTCCATTCTTACATAGTTAGTAATATAGTTAGTTAGTCTGGCTGAAAAAAGACAAAAGTCCATCCAGTTCAACTATTAAAAAAAAAAAGTTATAATCCTATACCCACAGTTGATCCAGAGGAAGGCAAAAAAAAAACAGCAAAGCATTATGTAATTTGCTCCTGCAGGGAAAAAAAATCCTTCCTGATCCCCCGAAAGGCAATCGGATATTCCCTGGATCAACTTTACCTATAAATGTTAGTATCCAGTTATATTCTCTGTATCTAGGAAATAATCCAGGCCTTTTTTTAAAGCAATCTATGGAACTGGCCAGAACCAACTCTTGAGGGAGTCTATTCCACATTTTCACAGCTCTCACTGTGAAGAAACCTTTCCGTTTTTGGAGAATAAATTTCTTTTCCTCCAGACGTAAAGAGTGCCCTCTTGTCCTCTGTGATTACCTCAGGATGAATAGCTCTTCACCGAGTTCACTATATGAACCACTGATGTATTTATACATGTTGATCATATCCCCCCTTAATCTCCTCTTCTCAAGAGAAAATAAATTCAGTTCCTCTAATCTTTCCTCATAGCTGAGCTCCTCCATGCCTCTTATCCGTTTGGTTGCCCTTCTCTGTACTTTCTCCAGTTCCCCAATGTTCTTTTTGTGAATTGGTGCCCAAAACTAAACTGCATATCCCAGATGAGGTATTACTAATGATTTGTACCCGGGTAATATGATATCTCTCTCTGGAGTCTATACCTCTTTTAATACAAGAGAGGATTTTGCTCGCTTTAGAAACCGCAGCTTGGCATTGCATGCCAATATTAAGCTTGTGATCTACTAGAACTCCCAGATTCTTCTCCACCATTGATTCCCCCAGTTGTACCCCCCTAGTATGTATGATGCATGCATATTCTTAGCCCCCAAGTGCATAACATTTTTCAACATTAAACCTCATTTGCCACATAGTTGCCCAATTAAACAGTGCCTTGAGGTTGGCTTGTAAGTTGAAGACAACCTGTAAGGACGTTATTCTACTGCACAGCTTGGTGTCATCTGCAAAGACTGAAATGGAATTTTTAATCCCAGAGCCTATTTCGTTTATAAATAGATTAAAAAGTAAGGGTCCCAACACTGAACCTTGGGGTACACCACTGACAACCCTAGACCATGCAGAGTATGGGTCATTAACCACTACTCTTTGAATACGATCTTTTAGCCAGTTTTCTATCCATTTACATATGGATTTTTCCAAGCCCATAGACTTTACCTTACACATTAGCCATGTGTGGGGAACTGTGTCAAACGCTTTTGCAAAATCCAAGTATACCACGTCCACCGCCACCCCTCTGTCCAAGTTTTTGCTCACCTCCTCATAAAAAAAAATCAGATTTATTTGACAACTTCTGTCTTTCATGAATCCATGCTGTCTGTTACCTAAAATATTTTTTCCAGCAAGAACTCATCTCTGTGGTCTTTTATTAAACTCTCCAGTATCTTCCCAACTATAGAAGTTAAACTAACAGGTCTATAATTACTTGGTAAAGAGTTTGACCCCTTTTTAAATATTGGCACCACATTGGCCTTACGCCAATCCAGTGGTACTATTCCAGTCATTAAAGACTCCCTAAAAATTAGAACCAATGGCTTTGAAATGACAGAGCTCAATTCTTTAAGGACCCGTGGGTGTATGCCATCTGGTATAGGTGCTTTATTCACCTTTATTTTGTCTCAATATTTTTGGATCATATCAATTGTGAGCCAATGTGGATCATCTGGAGCTGTGTCAATACCATGCCCATTATGGACAAGATCTCCCCCATGCTCTTTTGTATACACAGAGCTGAAGAAGGTATTTAATAAATTTGCCTTCTCCTTGTCCCCAGTCACCCACTCTAGATTATTTTGTAAAGGGCCTACATGCTCGGACATGACCTTTTTACTATTAATATATTTGAAGACTTTTTGGGGTCGGGCCTGCTATCTTTTGCAATCTGTCATTCGTTTTCAATTTTTGTGGCCTTTATTTCCTTTTTGCATATTCTGTTATATTCTTTGTAATGTCTCAACGATAGTATTCCTTCATTTTTATATTTAATAAAAGCTTTGTTTTTATACTCTATAGCTTTTTTAACTTTGGCTGTAAGCCACATAGGTTTTATTTTTAGCCTTTTAAACTTGTTGCCCATGGGAATATATTTTGCAGTGTGTTCACATACAGTCTTTTTGAAGAACTCCCATTTCTATGTTGTGTTCATCGATGTCAATATTAGGCTAGGCTCACTTCTATGCGGGTTGGGAACCTGCACATAATTTAATGCATTCTCAACCTGCAAGCAAAATGTGCTACTGTTTAGCAGATGCATGGGTGTGCCATTAATTAACGGTACATCCACGCATCAGAAAATATGGTTCATTTTTGGCTGTGTGAAACTGTATGGTGCCACAGAACCATGTGGTTCCATGTGGTTTTTAAGAAAGGGTTGTGGACTTTTTTCCTTGTGTTTCCTGCAGGCACAGTAGCCCATTCAAAAGTGTGAACCTAGACTTAGAGAGAGCAGGCTTTCAATCAGGCTTCAGGTCCAAGTACAGAAACTATGCATACCCTAACTGAATGACATTTAGTTTGTCTTAACATTGTGTACTGTAAACAATAGTGATTTCCATAAAATCCTCTTTTATGGAAATCAGCTGACACCCATTTTATGCAATTTTGGCTGTGGACACAGGTCAGCATGGACACCATGACCGGTCTGAGTCTACGCAGCCCTGTGATGCCCATTTTTTGCTTTCAACATATCAACTTCAGGTACAGCTTGTTTACTTGCTGGTTAATACATCCCACTGACTTTCAGATGCTACTAACTAGATAATGAGTGAAGTTATGGTTGATCATTGGATGTTCAAGCTGGCCCCATACTGACACTAGATGTCAACTAAAGTGCACATTAAGTGTAGTACTACTCCCGTAGGAGCCGTGGGGATGCCGTCCATGTCCTCCCCAAATACTGTACCTTGCCCTGCAGCCAAGCACATAGGCTCATTCACCCGTTTCAACAATAATCAATCTAGGGATGTTGATTTGTTGTTTTTACTTTTTGAAGAATAGGGATAGGGATGAGGTAGATGAGTGGGATACTTCAGAAGAGGAACTATGTAAACTGAGGACTTTGTCTAACAGAACAAGCTATATCTGAGTCTGCACTTGAATCAAATGGTGGACATCAGCTTTAAGCAGTAGCAACAGCAGTAACTTCTTTAGAGCCCAGAGCAGTGTCCCTTTAAGTAGTAGTGGGCAGATAGACAAAGCTCTTCAGAACACCAGTTGGTATTACCTATGCTAAATCTGCAGCTGACTTCCTAGCACCAGAGGGAGTTAAACAGCACACAGTCTCTAAGATCCTTAGGGATGTCAGTACTCAGGCCCAAAAGCATCTGGACGCCTTCCTCCATGATACAAGACCAGACCTTAAGAAGACAGCTCCTCAGTCAGCAAAGCAGATCCCAGGTCTCAGCAATTTAGGCCCTCAGGTTGCCCACCTGAGTCCTAC